AATGTGCTAAAGGTTAACTGAAATTAGTACATAGTAAGTATAAATTGAATTAGTACATAGTAAGTATAAGGTGAATTAAATGTTTTTCTCCTACATTTTAAAATCTATCACCAAATCTTGTTGGTCATTTTTTGATTGCAACTTGATGCTTAAAGCTAGCATTACAACAATAGCAGCTTTGCTGGCTATGTATAAAAGATGGGAAGAGTTAGGAGCAAAGAAAATCTAAATATTTTAGCAATCAGCAAATAGTCAGACAAATCAAATAAAACCTGTAATCCCTACCCTTATTCCCTATCTCATCATTTACCCTCCAACCTTAACAAACAGCCTTCTTTGGTCCCAAACTCAAGTAATGCTTTCTCCTGATAACAAAGTTTCAGTTAATGTACAATGTAAAGTAAGAGTTGTTCAAAAAATACACCTGCAAGGTGTTTAAGTCAATACAAGGCAAGAAGCAAAAACTTATAACCAACACAGCCATTTTTCATAAAAGTCTTCTATAAAATGTACACAAAAAAAAAAAAAAAAAAAAAAAAAAAAAAAAAAAAAAAATGATAGAATCCACAGGTAAAAAATACGGAAATTTTAACGTAAATCCACAAACAAAATAAGCAATTTCTACAGGGACTTTTTTTGGGGGGTTGTTGTTCTATATGCCACACCCCTTCAAAATGTGGGTGATCATGTCTCTCTACAATTTCTTGTAGCTCTTAGTAATTTTTTTGACTTTTTGTTATCTCTCCTAATCCCTGTTCTGCCAACCATTTACATAAGCTTGCTAAGTAGGTTATTTGGTCCCTCTTGCCTTCAATTTCTCCTGTGAGTATCAAATTTTCCAAGCTCTCTTTCCTTATTATGTATCCTAGAAATTTCAATAATCTCTTTCTGATTCTAAGTATAAGTGCCCTTTTAGTTTCCATGTTCCTCACAACTTCTTCATTACTCATATTTTTGGAGCCACATTTCTGTTACTTTGTCTCTTCTTCATCTGTGAGGAGATGGCCCAACATTCACTGCCATATAAGAGGACCAATATGACATAATAGTTTGGTAGTCTTTTCTTTGTTTCTAATGAAGTTTTCCCCTTTCTTAATACTTTGCTTAATTTTTGGAAGGCATCTTTCACTATTCCAACACGCCTTTGGTGTTGGGTATTGCATTTTTCACCCTATGTTAAAACACTTCCTAGATATTTAAATTTTTGTACATGCTTGATTTTGGTGTCTCTAATTTGTAGTTAACATCTTGGTCTGTTCTTCTTACTGACAACCATACATTTTGTCTTCTTACAATTGATGCTTAGTCCTTTCTTCTTGCTTTCCTTTTCTACTTTCTATAGGAGATCCTGTAGCTTCTTTTCCATGTCTCCTATCAATACTGTTTCATCTGCATATCTTATGTTGTTAAGATTGTAGCCATCAATAATGTATCCCGGTAGGATTTCAAATTCTCTCAGGATTGCTTCACTGTAAAGGTCGAAAGTCTGGTGAGAAAAGAAGCATTCGTGTCTTACACCCCTTTCTATTTTTGTGTATTCCTTTTCTATCTATATTCAGCTGGTTTGCTCCTAGTATAAGCGCTGCAGAATTTTAATATGTTTCCCAAATAAATCAAGCTTTTTCTAGCAATTCAAACAGTTATCAAAAATTTACATTCTGTTTTTCTTGGATAGTACTTTTTTTGTTTACAAAGTCAATAGATTTCTTTATGGACAAGACTAGATGAAAACAAAATTTTTGTCAAATTCAATAAGTTTTGTTATATCAACAGCGGACTGTTGGTTAAGATTGGTAGGCATTAGAAGCAGCTCAATGTAAAAATCTATATTACAAAAGAATGGCTGAACTTTATAACATAAGTAGAATTTATCATGGAGGGAAGAAAGTTGATAAAAGCACCATGTTAGAATATAGCCATGTTTTACTAAGCAAGGCATAAAAATAGGATCATTTAGAACAGCCATTTGTAATCAGGCAAGAGAGGTAGCATTCTTAATATATAAGTAAACATCTCTTTCTTGCCTTTCTAAAATTCACCCAATACAAGGCCCAAGAGCCACTCAAAGTAGAGGGTTATTGAATGACGTGTGTGATATGAATAGAGTTAGAAAGAAGTAAAGATTATGAGGATAAGAATGACAGATAACAATTGACTCTTGACTTGAGGAGGTTAAAATTGTAGTGTTCAGGAAAGCATACATGTGGGAGTATTATTTTTTTAATCATTTCATCTCAAACAAGGCAATAATGCCACTAAGATGCAAGCGGTTACAGGGAGTGGAAGAGAATGAAAAAAACTTTCCACAAAGAAGCAGTTCTTGGAAAAAAAAAAGTTGTCTGAATGGAAATTCTTCCTTACAAGTGGAATATGGGGTAAATGTGGGTGATTCAGCTCTATGGATATAGTTGGCTGAGTCCTAGCTATAAAACTCTAAACTGGTAAGACTAAAGAACAGATCTTGTCTGAACATTTCCTATAGAAATAGCAATATAGTAGCAATAGGCTTGCAACTTTGCGTTGGTGAGAAAGAGGTCGTAGAATGGAAAATATACCTTTCCTTACAAGATTGTGTAAACGAATTTGAACTCTATCAAAGGTGGAAATTGTGGTTTGAGAAGCTTCAGTGCAGACATGTAAGTAATATGTTGTTTTTTGGTCTAATCTGACTCTTGTAAAGTACAGCAGAAGAGTCAGGTATCTCCAGGAGTGGTAGAATGATCCAACCATATTTCCAGCCTCTTTATCAATGGATCATATGTATTTACATTTAGTCTGGGGCAAAGTCAGTGGATCACTAACAGAGAATCAAAGAAAGTACATTAGTAATGGTTTGCTTAACTGGCTTATTAACCATTACACTACAGCAAGATGCTCCTTCCTATCAGTCATTATCTAAGAGTTTCATCATTTTGCATTCATTTCTAACCTGCTTATTGCTTCTTTACATTTGTTAAAGTAAATTCAATAGTTGGTTCAACTGGGTTGAGTCTGTTAACAATATTTTTTATATCAGTGTTTCCCCGAGGTAAATGATTAAGCCATCATTGATATATGTGAGGGAGAATTTTTTGGAAGGGTGTATTGAAACAGGCCTGATTATAAAAATTTTAAAAATAAGCAAAGCATGCTAAATAACTATTAATAGGGTTACCTATAGGCAGGGCCGGATTTAGGCCTTAAGAGGACACAGGGGTCTAATTGAATTTGGGGTCCCCCCCCCCTCATTATATATTTTCTCCTCCCATGTCTATTAAAAAAAAAAAAAAAAAAAAAAAAAGAAAAGATTTTTAGATGATACTTTTTCCATGTAAAACATGAAACACTTCAACTGAAGTTTTTAATGATTTTGGAACTAATCCAATTTAATTCATTAGCAACTTCTTTATTCAAACTTTACATTCTACAAGGGGACCCATTGAGTTTAAAAGACCCACTCCAACTAGAGAGGCCCAAATAATATAAATTGTTTAAAATTAGTTCAAAGGAAAAATAAACAAATCTCCTCTCTTCTTGTATCTTTACATTTTTTTAAGTTTTATCAAGGGCTTGATACTACAGGGCCATTGAGACTCCCTGTGTCTTAGGACCCCTGGTCTGTAGCCCATATGTAAATCCAGCATTGCCTATAGAGAATTCAAATGTTTGTTTGTAATAAATGTTGTTGAATTTGAAATAACATAAAATGGAACATATTTTACATATACTGGTACCAACAGGTGGATATATATATATATATATATATATATATATATATATATATATATATATGTTTTGTTTTTATATATTTTCTAATAAATTCAGATATTTATTAACGGGAATATTGATATATAGGGACTTAATATATCTAAATTAGATATAATCTTGTTTTTCATGTCTATATCTTTAATTTTTTTTTTTTAATAAGTCACCAGAATTCTTTAGATAGTACCAAGTAGTCAGTAGAATTTTAGTGATAGTTGTAGCAATTTGTGAGTGGTGCTGCCAATTCCAGAGACTGTTGGTCACATTGGAATGTGGTTATAGTGGGGGGTGATATTCTATGTAGGATAAAATGTGCCTCAATAATTATCACCCATAAAGTAAACGTGGAATAAAAAGAAGAGGAAAAAAATGTTAAACATTAATATAAGATCAACTCACATATGTAAACTAGAAAGCACTCAGAGAGTACAAACCTCCGCCAACACCATTATTACTAAAAAACTGATTGAAAATTAATGTATAGATACAATGCAGGGGAGGTAACTACATAAGCTTTTTTTAAAAATATATTTTGGACTATTGCCTTCGTATATGAAATATCTCTCATTCAAAAAACAAATTGTGGATTTAACATTTAGCACTCTACATCATCTTTTCCACTTTTACTGTATATGGAATCCCCTCAAAATATAGTGTTTGATATATTAGTTCTATATATTTGAAATTGTAGTAGCCTGGCTCTCAATTTCAGTGAAGATTGTTTTAGTTGTTGCCATAGAAGGATATGACTATACAACCAAGAAATTTAAATTCAACTTGCATTGGCAGGACTAACATTTTACTTGGTGAAAATAGTCACCTACAGAGTGCTAAACATTAATCAATTGTAACTTGGCCCAAACTTTCCACAAAATGTGATTAAGAAGTTTTGGAGATATTGCGTGAACAAACATGAGTAAATATATAATCTCTGTCCAAATTTGTTGGCAGAGGTATAAAAAAAAATATGTAAAAAACACCGGTTCTACAAGAATCAAGAGGAATCATTACTTGATATAGAGAAGGCAACTAAATAGTCTTACCCAAATATAAACGGACAGGGGAAAACAATTTCCAAAAATGCACTGAACAGATTTTGATTAGCAGAATAAAAATTAAAATATTTTTTAAAATATTTTTAAAGAAAAACTATCGCTTCATTTTAAGATATGGCTCCAAATTTACTTGAGAGAAAGACCCTCCCATCAAGCTGGCAAATTGAACACCTATTTTAAAAAAAATAGTAGTCACAGCCCTTAAGCATTGGTGCCTATAAATTCAATTCTTGATTGCTCAACAATATTAAAATTTTCTTTTAAACTGTTGGCATATTTGGCAAGAATTTCATCAACATTAATATGATCTTCCAGGGTCACTTTGTGGCCTGGCACCTGTAACTCCACAGTACCCTGGTCTCCCAAGTCTTGCATGACACTGAGCGTTCCAGCCAAAGTGGATTTGCTTTTATACTTTGCAGCAAGGGGTACAATGGGTGCTTTGGCAATATCTATCTCTATATCTAAACCATTATAGCCACTGGCTCGGATAAAGGCATTCACCTGGAAATCGTCAATGCCGATGACATCACACTCATACTGTGACGATGCACGTCCTCGGTTGTAGCTACTATTCATAGTCCCCGATGTCATGTGACCACTACTGTCGCAGCCAAGAGATCGAGAGCCCTGCCCAGGGAAACAGCCATATTTTTCACGCATTACCAATGCATCCGAATTAAAGCAGGCTGGCGTTTCACACCCGCTCGAAGCACCTCCACACATTGGGGCCAATGACCTGCTGCAAGACGGAAGTCTTTGTCTATTTTGCAGAAGGTCCTGCTGGGAACGCCGTTTCATGAAAGGCATATCCTTTTGAAATGATTCTGCCCCAAAGTCCGATGCCATCCTCTGGTGTGTTGATGACAGTCCGTGTGTTGGTGGTGGTGGCCATGATGGCGATGGCCGCAGAAGGTCAGTGGGACTGGACACAACGGATGGTCTTGCAAATGAACCAGGCATCCATGGATACCGGAAGGGGCTATTGCTGCAACTACCCATCTGAAATGGGTTTGGTAAACTGGAGTTAGCCGCCAGACTGCTGCTGGGGAACATGTTGATGGGGTAGGGTCCCGTGTGAGCACTGCCCATGTACGGGTTCATCCTGGATGGAATGACTGGGTCATGATGCAATGGAATCGAAGGGGAGCTACCCGTAAAAGCTCTCGAATCAAGATCAGGGTGGTGATACATGGACGAGAGCCCTTGAAAGTCATTTGAAGACGAGCCAGAAGCACTCGGTGTTAAACTTGTGCGCATACTAAGGTCTGTCGGCGTGGCAACGCCAAGTCCTGACTGCAAATTGAGAGCAGACATAGAAACATTCTCTTTTGGACTCATGCTCCTCGGCTTGCTCCTCAAGTAGACACATTTACGATAGACACACGTCTGTTTCAGGACGTCCCTACGCAGACAGTAGTGACATCGGCCACAGTTCTGCTTGATCTGACACGGACCACAGATGCCACAGCGACGTCTCCGTTTCAATTTGACCTTCACGTTGTGGTGATCATGATCCACTTCCCTGATGATGTCAGGCCCCGTCGGGCTCAAGTCACTTTCCACTTCAATCACGTACTCCTCTTCGTCTCCATGGGGATGGTGAGGGTGATGAGGGTGGGGGTGGCCAGCCACATGGCCATGGTGCACAGCATCGGACTTCATTTCTCGCAGTCGGTGACCACTATGTGACATACTAAGATTGGCCAGTCCAATCTGCAAAAAGAAATAATATATTTTAGTACAAAATCAATCATAACAGTAACATATATTTGAAATTTACAAGCAGAATTTCAACAACAAAAAAATAAAAAATTAAAAAAAAATAAATAAAATAGTCACATTTATGAAACCAGAATTAAAAACTGATAACAAGGAAAACAACATTTTTAAAATTGAAAATAAAAATTCTTGAATCATAATATTTGAATTTTTTTGATGAAACACTCAATCATTATTAATCATTTTTTTCCTAGTATTTTGTATTTCCCTTGCTTTTACACCACTTAGTAATAGTCTGAAATTGGTTAATTTCTTAGATTTAGCACTATCAGATTTTATTAATTTCTAACTAGTAATTGTTTTCTTTTATTTCGACTGTCTCAGTCATTTTCCAAAACCAAAATGGTGACTGTGTAGTAGTCAAGATTCTTTTGTCTACATCCGAATATTATTTGGAAAACTGAATCTGAAATACATCACTGTAGACTATGGCAAGAATTAGATAGATAGATAGATAGATAGATAGATATGAAGAGAATAAGATAGATAGATAGATAGATAGATAGATAGAAGATAGATAGATAGATAGATAGATATGAAGAGAATAAGATAGATAGATAGATAGATAGATAGATAGATAGATAGATATGAAGAGAATTAGATAGATAGATAGATAGATAGATAGATATGAAGAGAATTAGATAGATAGATAGATATGAAGAGAATTAGATAGATAGATAGATAGATAGATAGATAGATAATGAAGAGAATAAGATAGATAGATAGATAGATAGATAATGAAGAGAATAAGATAGATAGATAGATAGATAGATATGAAGAGAATAAGATAGATAGATATGAAGAGAATAAGATAGATAGATATGAAGAGAATAAGATAGATAGATAGATAGATAGTTAGATATGAAGAGAATAAGATAGATAGATATGAAGAGAATAAGATAGATAGATAGATAGATAGTTAGATATGAAGAGAATAAGATAGATAGATATGAAGAGAATAAGATAGATAGATATGAAGAGAATAAGATAGATAGATAGATAGATAATGAAGAGAATAAGATAGATAGATAGATAATGAAGAGAATAAGATAGATAGATAGATAATGAAGAGAATAAGATAGATAGATAGATAATGAAGTGTATAAGATAGATATGGAGAGAATGAGATAGATATGGAGAGGATGAGGTAGATAGATAGATAGATAGATAGACATGAAGAGGATGAGATAGATAGATAGATAGATAGATAGATAGATAGATAGATAGATATGAAGAGGATGAGATAGATAGATAGATAGATAGATAGATAGATAGATATGAAGAGGATGAGATAGATAGATAGATAGATAGATAGATAGATAGATAGATATGAAGAGGATGAGATAGATAGATAGATAGATAGATAGATAGATAGATAGATATGAAGAGGATGAGATAGATAGATAGATAGATAGATAGATAGATATGAAGAGGATGAGATAGATAGATAGACAGATATGGAGAGAATGAGATAGATAGATAGATATGGAGAGGATGAGATAGATAGATATGGAGAGGATGAGATAGATAGATAGATAGATAGATAGATAGACATGAAGAGGATGAGATAGATAGATAGATAGATATGAAGAGGGTGAGATAGATAGATAGACAGATATGAAGAGGGTGAGATAGATAGATATGAAGAGGGTGAGATAGATAGATATGAAGAGGGTGAGATAGATAGATAGATATGAAGAGGGTGAGATAGATAGATAGACAGATATGAAGAGGGTGAGATAGATAGATATGAAGAGGGTGAGATAGATAGATATGAAGAGGGTGAGATAGATAGATAGATATGAAGAAGATGAGAAAGAATATGACAGAGAATGAGATAGATAGATAGATAGATAGATAGATAGATAGATAGATAGATAGATAGATAATGAGATAGATAGATAGATAGATAGATAGATAGATAGATAGATAGATAGATAGATAGATAATGAGATAGATAGATATGAAGAAGACGAGATAAAGAATATGATAGAGATAGACAGAGAATGAGATGGATATGGAGAGGATGAGATAGATAGATAGATAGATATGGAGAGGATGAGATAGATAGATAGATAGATAGACATGAAGAGAATGTGATAGATAGATATCATTAAGAATATCATAAATCTTTTATTTGAATAGACAACACAAATCTATCAGGACTTGAGTCGCCACTTATTAATGCACAATGTAAAAATAAGTAAAATTGTTTCACAAACAGCACAGGGTGCAATGAAATGTTGGTAAACAGACTTGCCTCAAGGAAGAAAAAGCTGAGCATTTACGATGCGGAAAGAGGAAATCCATCATTTACCCCCCTTATATGAATCGGAAGGATATCCCGTAGAATCAGCGTGGCTGTTAACCCTGGAGAGTCAAGTGTGAATGGAAAGCGACAGGGAAGCAGGCTGTGTGACCTTTTTACTCTACACACTTGCACAGGCTGCTGCTGCTCTTTCTTGTCAACCAACAATCTTGCCTGTCTCTGGTCTTCATGGTTAGACACACACACAGACACACACACACAATTTACCTGTGTCTTGGCCTTTGTATTTAATACTATGAAAAGCTTTTCAGCAATCTGAAATTTTAACCTATTTTCAAACTTTCCTTGAAGAAGATGAAGGAGAAGAGTGAGAAGGAGGAGGAGGCGGAATAGAGAGAGATAGAGAGAATAGCAAAGAGAGGATAATGAGAATGGAAAGAGGAGAGTGAAAAAAGGAAAGAAAAAGAGCATGGTGGAGGAAAGCAAAGAGGCAAGAAAAAAAGAATGAGGAAGAAGAGAAAAAGTGGAAGAGTGAGGAGGAAAAGAAAAAAAGAAAAAGAAGAGTGAGGGAAGAGAAAAAAGAAGAGTGAGAAGGAGGAAGAGGAGAAAATGAAGAAGGAGGAGAAACAGATGGGTGAGGTGGAGGAGGAAAAATGATGGGTGAGGTGGAGGAGGAAAAATGATGGGCGAGGTGGAGGAGGAAAAAAGATGAGCGAGGTGGAGGAGGAAAAAAGATGTGCGAGGTGGAGGAGGAAAAATATGAGTGAGGAGGAGGAGGAGGAAAATATGAGTGAGGAAGAGGAGAAAAAGAAAAGTGGAAGAGGAGAAAAAGAAAAGTGGAAGAGGAGGAGGAGGCAGAGGAGGAAAGAAAGTGAGCAAAGAATAGAAAAAGAAAAGTGAGGAGAAGAAGATTGGGAGAACAAGAATGCAGAGAAGAAAAAAAAAAGAACGAGAAAGCTACTGAGAAGTAGATGACAGGCATGAAGAAAAAGAAGAGTACGAAGAAAAAAGAATAGGAGGAGGAAGAAGAAGAAAAGTGAGAAAAAGAATGGCAACAAGAAGACAATGTATGAGAATAAAAAGATAGAAGATGAAGAGAAGACAACAAAGAGAAGAAGAAGAAGAAAAAGCAAAAATACTACTACTACTACTACTACTACTACTACTACTACTAATAATAATAATAATAATAAAATGGGTCTTTGTTTTAATCTATTTAAAAAAGATGAAACAATTTGAGTAGAAAGGAACAGCATCAGGGAAACATTTCTTCATTATGGCTCCTGTAATTAGGAAGTAGAATAAAGAAATTCTTGAGATAGATGAAGAAAAGGGGGAAGATAATGATACCAATGTGGATAATTACAAATGAAGTTTGCATATCTTTCTCAATAATAGAAGCAAAACTTCAACTAATTGGAGACACTGCAGCTAAAGTCTTTCCTTCGTCTCTCAAGGCTATGCACTTCTTCCCACTTCCCCTAACTGCTATTTTCAGGAAATTTTGGTAATGTACACGGATTCTCAAGTGTCTGCCAACTCATTACTTCTTGCCACACACACCATATTGAAATATTATTAAAAGTGAGTTACCACCATCACGTAATGAGGAAGAACAGAATGTTCTTTGTAATCAATTTTTAGCAAGAACCAGGCTCAATTCTAGACTTACAATCTTTTATGTCATAAACTTCTACAAATTTTAACAAAATATTCAAAGAAATTCAAATAAAATAGAAATAGTTTTATGTTGTTTGAATTTCTGTGATGAAGACATTTTTTTTTTTATCATTTCATCCCAAACAAGGCAATAAAGTCACTCAGATATAAAGGATTACTTACTGAGGTTGAGAGAATGAGAAAAAGAAAACATTATTAAGGGGAGAGAGAATAAAAAAAACTGGAATTAAGTAAAAAAGAAGAAAACAATTGATATTGCATTTAAATTTTTCAAGGTTAAAGTTGATTGAAAAGCGGGAAGCCAGAAGAGAGTTCCACAAGTGAGAAGTGAGAGAGATGAAACTGTTAACATAGAATTTATGGTTACATCTAGGTGTTTCAATTCTAAAATGATGAGACCTTGCCAACAAATTAGTAGCATGGGTAAATTCATGAAGTCTAAGTGCCAAAGAGAAAAAAATACCATAAAACCAATTTATAGAAGAAGCACAAAGAAGCTACATTATGGCAGTGGGGAAGTGACTGAAGCCAAGATGACAGGTCAGGACCTATGACATTGCAGATTCTTCTTTGGATTTTATCAAGGATCTATAATACATGCCAGGTTAGGACCTATAATAATGAATATTTTTCTTTGTATTTTATCAAGAATCTCTAAAGACATGCCAGAAGCAACAAGACCAAATTTGGTAGTAATATTCAATGCATGGCCAAATTGGAGACATTCATGGCCGAATGGTATACAATGCATTGAATGGTAGACTTTCTCTTTATTACTTTTGGTAAATGTAATTTTTGTTGTTTTTTTTTTTTTAACAATACTGAGATCATTTCTACATTTTATGGTTATTAAGTAGGCAATTGAGATCAGAAATAAAGAATGAGCCTCCAATGAGATTATTACAAGGATTATTTACAAATGGATAAGCACTTCTGCTGAGGATTTGTGTACACTGACTAAGACCAAAATTTTACTACTCAACCCTCTTCTTTAAGCAGTCTACAACTGATAACATTTCCTTTGAAATAAAGCCCATAATTGGACAATGATCATTTGTCAAACAAAATCCTTTAAAATACAAGATAGAAATGATCCTGATTATTTATAGAAGAGCTTGGATCATCAAAGGATACCATATGTAGAGCATTATATAAAAAGTTTAAAAAGTGTTTATATAAAAAAAAAAAATTGAAAATCCTTCTGATACACTATAATACATGCTGATTTAATTCTTGAAGATAAAAATTTTAATTTTGAAATGCATATATTTGCACACTCTGACTGGTCTCAGCTGAAATCAATCTGAAGATGATTTTTGCTTTCAAAAACAGCAGATTCAAGAAAGATTTCCCATAAGCATTTGCCTAAATACATCAGAAAATAGCCATTGAAATGCAAATCAATTCATCTGCATCTCAATCCTGATCTTTTTCCTTTGACAATGAAATTTGGTCTCAATTTATTTGTCAGGAAAAATTAACCGACACTCTAAATGCAAGATTTAGCAAAATTGTGAGATTTTGATTTGTACAATTATTTCACAGAAACTAATTTACATATTTCTTGATTGCTAATTTAGGAAACATCAGTGACTTGTAAAGGAAAATGATAGACAAGTGAAGAGAAGAAAATAATGTTTCAGGTTTTTATCTCTGAGACAAAAAAATTGGTTATGACACTTTGCATAAAAAAAGAATAATTTAAATTCAAATTAATGCTCAGACTATTGGAATTTAAACTTTCTTTTACACTATCATTCACCTGATATAAGGCCCAACAGCCACTCAGTGTAGAAGAATAATGAATGAGGTTGTTTTCTTTTAATCATTTCCATCAAGTAAGGCAATAAAGCCACTAAGATGTAAGAGTTGAATGTGAAAGAATATGAAAAAAAAAAAAAGAAAAGAAAAATCATTGAGAGAGAATATCTGTCTATATTTCTGAAATGAGGTATTGTAACTATTTACACTATTTACATTGTTCAGATTGTTGTCCTCATTTTTATTGTCCTATTCACAACATTTCAATCATTGTACACTCTGGTCTTCTTCAGGATATCTCTATATTTCTGAAATGAGGTATTGTAACTATTTACACTGTTTACATTGTTCATACTGTTGTCCTCATTTTTATTGTCATATTCGCAACATTTCAATCATTGTACACTCTGGTCTTCTTCAGGATATCTCTATATTTCTGAAATTAGGTATTATAACTATTTACACTATTTACATTGTTCAGACTGTTGTCCTCATTTTTATTGTCCTATTCACAACATTTCGATCATTGTACACTTCAGTCATCTTCAGGTGATATACGTTGGAATTTTGAATTATAGCCCAGTGGGTAAAAGCATTGATTGAACTAATCCAGTTACTTGAACCAATGAGTTATTAGCTCAATACCTGGCTACAGCAGAGATGAACTAAAATTTGAAGAGTTGAGTTATTAAAGGGAAATAACTGACTTATATATCTAGAAAAGGTATGGCAGTAGAACTAAAGCAATCTACTCCAGTGGATGAAATAAAGAAATTCCAATGTATATCACCTGAAGAAGGCCGAAGCATACAACGGTCAAACCATTGTGAATATGATAATAAAGATGAGGACAACAGTCCGAACAATGTAAATAGTGTAACAGAGACAGGACAATAAAAGAACAGGAATAGAACAGAAGATAGAAATTGGCATTGCATTTAAATTTTGAAAAACAAACTTGACTGAAAGCAAGAGGCCAGAAGAGAGCCTCAGAAGTGAGAAATGCGATAGGAGAAACTCTTAGCATAGAACTTACAGTTTACATCTAACCATTTCAATTGAAAAATTGATGAGATGTAGCTACCAATCTAATACTGCACTTAAATTAGTAAAGTCTCAGTACCAAAGAGGAAAGTTCATCAGAACAATTACCATAAAAATATTTATAGAAAAGGCACAAGGAATCTATATTACAAGGGTGTAAAAGTGACTGAAGTCTAGATACCTGGTTAGAACCAATAACATTGCAGATTCTTCTTTGGGTTTTATCAAGAATCTCTAAATACATCAGAAAATAGCCATTGAAATGCAGAAGCATCAGTAGATGTGGCAGTAATATTCAACAAATGAAATTGTAGATTATGAGAACATAATATGTAAGATAGATAACGGTTAAGATGTTAA